TTTTATTGGTGTGTTTTATGTTTTCTTGAATGTGATTGGTTTATAAATATTGTTTTTGATATTTTAGTGGACACAACAAGTTGGCCAAAGGAAAAAGACCAGAGCACAAGCAAAAATTTAGTCTGCATCAAGAAGATATAACAGAAGGCAAACATCATGCAAAATCATTTGGAAAACGTAGCTCTAAATGGTTCACCCTGGACGAAAATTTGTGCACAATTATAACAGATTTTGAACAAGATTGTATTGAGCATGAAAAATCAGGAGAAATCTCTGTAAGGATCTTGATGTTAATTTCACTGAGAATGATGGCATAGAATTTGATATAACCTATAATGAATGTTATTGTATCTAAGTAGAATGGGCATAAAAAATATCATCAAAGATGGTACACACAGGAACTGCTATTGACTACTTGTTATACAGCATTTCTGCATGCAGTGTGGACTAAAACATCATATGAAAGTTCTCCAAAATATTAATGTAACATACCTATTGCAAGAGGTGCCCAATGTTGCCACATCTGCACAAGGGAATGTAAGACCTTAGCAGGACTAAATCACCACATCTGTCTTGCCCATATAGAGAATAAATCAAGAAATGACATTACTCCAAATCATGTCTTAGCCATCATATATATATATATATATATATATATATATATATATAATATTATTGGTTAATACACACACACATATATATTTATATATATATATATATATATATATATATATATATATATACATAAAATATATTAATACACACATATATATATATATATATAAATACACACACACACACACATATATATATATATATATATATATATATATATATATATATATATATATATATATAAAATATAAATACACACACACACACACACACATATATATATATATATATATATATATATATATATATATATAAATTTCAAGAGGATAGTATCCAGGTAGAACTCAATGTCCAGGACAGAGTAAGAATATAATAAAAAGGCTTAAACACTAATATTCCATGGTTATAATTTATTACATTGGAATCATAAATATGATCCACTTCATCAGACCTACAAATTCAAAAAGAAATTAAGTCCGGGAATAAAAAATAAAATTTAGTGAGAGTGTATGTATGAGAGTGGGGGATGAATGTGAGAGGTAAATGAAAGCTTTAGAGAGGGGTAACGGACTAGAGAAGAACAGGAAGGCCTAAAAGTGAAGGTGGGGATTAAAATTTAATAGAGAGAAGTTTTAAAGAGATGTTAAAAGACGGTTTAAATGAGTTAGATAATAATAAGTGAGATATATATATGTATATATATATATATTATAACTATTTATTTAAAAAATGATCCTCCACTACATAAGTATCAAGCAGTGTTTTTTAAAAATAAAAACAAAAATACTAAAGAACTGTTTTTTAAAAATAAAAACTGCTAAAAAAAAATACTAAAGAACTGTTTTTTTAAAAATAAAAACAAAAATACTAAAGAACTTTGGATTATTTACCTAACGAGTTCTTTCCTATTTTCTATATATTTTCATGCACACACACACACACACACACACACACACACACACACACACACATGTATGTATATATATATATATATATATACAGTTACTTGGTTTATAATTGTAGCTTATTGAAAGTTAATCTGGATAATGAGAGAAGATTACATAATTTATTATCTAACTTAATATGTTATACCTGTTGGCTTGTTCTTGAGTATCATTTTTAATCATTTTAATAATAAATTTCTGGACTGTCAATCAATTGCTTTGTCTTAATTGTTATTGTAAATAACTGTACAGTGACTTTATTACTAGTCTCTGTGTGTGTGTGTGTGTGTGTGTGTGTGTGTATATATATATATATATATATATATATATATATATATATATATACACACAAAAAAAAAATTAAAAATTATGGGTCTAGTTCAATTTCCCCTGAAAATATTCTGATGATTAGTCATTGAAATACTAATTTTGGGAAGTGTTTTATGCTGAGAACTTTACAATGCACAAACATACACACAAATGTATAAAAGTGATCCATTTTAGATACTTCTAAAACAGCTTTTTAATATACATAAATGTAACATTTTGGGATTATTTACCATTAACAGACTGATGTCTTTTTGTGCAATTATGAAAATGGACTTTTGATATTCTCACATTGCATAGTTCTTTTTCATATTTTTCAAAAGGAATATGTCAGTATGCTAGCAGCTTGAAGTAACTTAATGACTTTGTGTAGAAAAGTGTTGAAAGTCTTGTGGGTCACCTGAAACCTCTTCTTGCAACTGTTAAAAGGAGAAAAATGGCATGCTTTGGACACGTTTACAAGGCATGACAGCCTGTGCAAGACCATCATGCAAGGCAACGTAGGAGGTGGACATAAGAGAGGATGCCGACATAAAAACTGGTTGGACATTTTCAAACAATGGACAGGTATGACTATACCAGAATTCCTGATGGCTGCCATTGATATACTGTTGTGAAGGAGATTTAATATGGCATCTGCATTTGGATCCACCCTATACTTACAAAAGTCAAGATGCTGAATTCTTTTTGTTTATAAATCGCATTCTTGAATTCTATAATCTCAGCTTCCCCTTTATACATAGATTGTAATTTCTCCCTTTTGTTTTCTTCATCTTTCTTATTAGATAACATATTATATTATATACCATATTCTAATACTGACATTTCTCTTTCACTTTTTAATTCCCACATGTGTTTTGGCAACATGTAGCTATTTCTATATCTTTCTAATGTAAATCTTTTGTTCCCTTAGGTTCTACTTTGTTGTCATATTCACCTCCCTGTAATTTCCCTGCATTAGAGATTGGGTTCATTGGATTTTCATTCAACAAATACATTTTTTGTCACTGTTTTTGCATTGTCATTATTTAGTATGTTGTTTCAACACCATCACTTGAGAAGACACCAGAAGTATTGAAACAAAATCGCTATTTTTGTAGTGATGTTATAACATGTTTAGAGTATTTTTATTATATTGCATGTTGTCTGTACTGCAGAGTATCTAAATGAAGCCAAAATGGCCGTATCCATGAAAAATCACCATCAGCGTCTTTATAGTTATTTATTTCCAGTGAATGCTAATTTTCTAATTTTTTTCCCCTAACTGGGCCAGCACAGCCATGCAACAATGCAGCATTGGAAATGTTTACAAATATTAACACTACTATGAGATTATGTTTTCTTATAACTGTATTCCAATAGAAGTGTTAACATTATTTTGTGTCACCCTTTCTATAATAAGATATTGTATACATTGGATCATCAGAGATGTTATAACATATTTAGAGTATTTTTATTATATTGCATGTTGTTTAGCTTAGTCTGTACTGTAGAGTATCTAAATGAAGCGAAAATGGCCATATCCATGAAAAATTACCATCAGCGTCTTTATAGTTATTTATTTCCAGTGAATGCCAATTTTCTATTTTTTTCCCCTAACTGGGCCAGCACAGCCATGCAACAATGCAGCATTGGAAATGTTTACAAATATTAACACTACTATGAGATTATGTTTTCTTATAACTGTATTCCAATAGAAGTGTTAACATTATTTTGTGTCACCCTGTCTATAATAAGATATTCTGTACATTGGATCGTCAGAGATAAGAGTTCTGGCTGATGTGCTCAAAGGAACATGTTAGTGACACGTGATCGAATAAGGTCAGTGCACATCAGCTGGTCATCTGATTGAAATAAATATCAAGGTAACTCAGCTTCGGCAATGGGACCAGTATGCCACAGTAGACATTTATGCTTAAAGGGCATTCATTTGTTTCAGCCTTTTGTGACCATTCACATTAATATGCATGGGGGTGAGGTGCAGCTACCATGTTGTTGGAAGTCAAATGATTTGAAATAAGAAAGGTTTGTCCCTTATTCAATGCAGTTGTTATGAAATAAGGAAACCCCCACCGTTTTTTGACCTTCCCTTATCTACGTTTGAATAGGTTGAGTGCTCTCAACCACAATGAAAGAAATTGTATTGTTTTGCTCTGAACCATGCACCAGAAGATAGAACGCTTTGTTATATATGGTGTGTGGGTCATTTTGTGACCTATCAGAAATTTGGTAATAATCATCTGAGAAGGCAAGGATTTTTAACTTGCGGGACAATGATAAAGAAAATAGAATTTGATGTAAATTATATAAAAGTAAACAGGATAAAAAGGATATTGGCAGTGGAATCAGGAAAAATATTTTAATAAACAATAGTAAAAAAAAAACATAAAATAGAAACAGAGGGAGCTAACAATGATTGTTGCCATTAAGTTTATGAGGTAACTAGCACAATTCTTTGCTTTGGATTGATTGATTTGTTTTTTTATGGCTTTTCAACCCTTTGCAGGTTATTTAAAGCCATAAATCATTTGGAGTGGAGGATATTGTAAGAATATTTTGGAGATAATAATGATTTGCTGATTAACCCATAGCTTGGGGGAGAAGAGGTAGATCTGTTAAATAATATTCTAGCAGACTATTATATTTTTAAAGAATTGTATTTCTCCTTTGACTTCCTCATTTTAACCTTTGAGGCCAGATACAGGAAAACAAAGGAGGTCATTTTTGATTGGCCAAAAATAACATGGGAATGCTAGATGTAGAAAGGGAATTCAGTGAGTTAAGTTTTACACATTGAACAGTGTAGACGTGTTATATTCTGTCTGGAAAAGGCTTGCTCCCCAGTGGGGTGGAATAGCAACCCCACTGGCTAGTTAGAGATATACACATTGATTTGTTTAATAAAATAGTTAAGTTAAAATTTCTTTATTTCTTTTCGAACAAAACAACTGGTGTTCAACATCTGAGAAAGAAGAAAGCAACATTATTATTATGGGATCGACCCCATCACCAAAACTTCCCCAGAATGAGGGATGCAATATATACTCAAATTGGCACAGAGACCAAGAGAACCCCAGAAGAAGGGGCTATACAACAAATTCAGCCAAGCTTATACACCTGGTATTTCCAAGCAGTCACTCATCAAGGTACTGAACAGGCTCAGCATTACTTAACTTCAGTTATCCTATGAGAACTGGTGCTTCAACGTGATAAAGAATATCTTGGTGTTGGTTATTGTAAGCAACTATCACAATCTGAGTTGTGTTTTTGGCTTTAAATCACCTACAAAGAACAACTTGATCAATCAATCTCTGCAACTTGTGGCTTTTCTAAAAGCTCAAATGCTTGTTGAATGATAAGAAATTTCAGGCCACAAACAAAATTATAAGAAACATCTGAAACAACTGAATCTTAATCTTAAATGATAGTTTTTGAAAATGTTTTGAAATCTGAAAGACAAGTATTTCAGATGCCAAAGGGAATACTTTGGTCATTCTAGTTGCATTTCAACCACTCTACACATATAGCCTTTTTCAAGTATCTGACTTGAATTGTGAACAAAGCTTGATTTATATAAGAAATAGAAGCTCTAATCAATTCTGAATTGCTTAGGCATGTCCCTCTTTCAGATAATATAGCTTTTGTTTCTCTAGGTCAACTGCCTGATATGTTAACAGTTATTATTAAATTTGTATATCAGGCTTTAGATAAGAACAGCGAGGTTCAATCTGTAGCTTTAGATCTCTCCACAAGCCCAAGAACAATGGTGTCTTTAGCTGAGTATTTGACTTAATCCAAGGCAATACATAACTCAAGCCTGGCAACCATGAAACTGGGGGTCCATGACTGTGGGCGGATATATGGAGACCTAAATTACTAGTAAATAACAATATCAGAGAATATTTTTAGCAAGGAACTTGTTAGTAATGTCCAGTAATTAGTTAATTAGGAACTATGCATAATATTAGAATTATTGACTTATTTTCATAAGTGCAAATGTACAAAGGAATAACAAAAGTAACCTCCTCTACCATAAAATAACTAAATGCACAAAAATCACTTTAATTGCCATAAATTAGACATTTTTAGATAATATTGCAAAAATAATGAGTTAATTTGTTTATACCAATTGATTACAGAAAATATAAAATTGTATAATACAATCAGAAAGCAATTTCAACATTTTACAAAATTGTGTATCAACAAAGTCTGAAAATACTTTACAAAAAATGTTAATTTCAGAGAAACAATAATTTTAATAATTCTTTACAAAATTTATTGTGATTTCTGTAACATGTATAATTTGTTTCACAGAAGATGAAGAAAAAATACTTATTTTGCTATAGCACAATAATAGATATTACCAGTTTTAATAATTAAAATCAATTTATATTAAAAAGAAAACTAATTAACAGGATAATTTGGGGATATATATATGTAAAAAGGGGAGAATTTGAAAAAAATATCTGGTAAATATTTCTCCTAATGAATAACTATATAAATATTTTTATTAGTTGAAAAAAATATGAATTTTTAATAATACTGATTGTGTAGTCTTAAAGAGAATTGTATGAATATCTTATAAATAAAATTTTAAGATAATTTCAAAACTTTTTGTGTGGGTTCTTGAGTTGTCTTCGGTAAATCAAACAAACGATAATTTTTGAAAAATATATTTGCCAAGATGATCCCATGCTTTCTTTTCATATTGAAATGATGTATATCAGAAATTAGCATAAAGATTTTTGTCAAAGAAATTCTGCAAGTCTTCAATTTAACAACACCAATCATTATAAAACAGAAAAAATGCCCAACGAACTGTGATACCCAGTGGAATTTTCAAATTACTACAATCTATTTCTTTCAAAAATTGTCCATATTCTTGTAAACAAAAACTATTATTATTAAATATTTCCTCTTCAGTGAGACAATCTTTTCTTATAACATAGCCTGCTATATACAAAAGTCACATTTTAATGTTTTTAGAGATATTAGTTTTAAGTCTGAGAAATTACCAAATGTTTGGCATTCCATTTCATCCAACAAATGTCCACATTTTGAGCAATTATGGCCTGGATCAAAATTGTATTCTTTGACAGCAACATTTAATTTAAGAAGTAGTTTACTTTTTTTTTCAATATGAAATTTTTCAATAACATTTTGAATTATTATAAAATGAACATCTTCAAAACTTTATCTTAATTTACCAAATTGATTTTCTAAAATAGCTTTTTGTAAATTCACCATTCATAACAAAATTAAACTTACTGTTTAGCAAATATCTGCAAACATTAATCAAGCCATTGCATGTATGTTCAATGGCTAAACTCTTATATCTCTTGTTAATGATTTCATTCTTTTTCCTTGATTTCCTTCCATTCTTTTTGTTATTTTCCCAAAATTAGAAAGAATAACAGATGTTCATCATCTAAATCTGATATCATTTTTTTCAGTGGATCATTTTCCTTAGTGTCACCATATATTTATTTGACACAGACAATTTTCCCAGATTTTAAGACTTTTTCAATGAAATTAACTGTTTCTGCAGCATCCTTCCCATTTAATAATTATTTTAATAAGTGTCATTTTTCATTAATTTTGCAGTGTAGATTATTTCACATTAATGCAGGAATACCCCAGGGCTCTATCCTTGGACATACTTTGTTTCTTATCTTCATCAATGACCTTTTGGATATCCTTAATTCTTAACTAGGTATTTATACTGATGATTGCTCCTGTTTTTAATAGGTCTGGACAAAATAAAACTGGCAGCTGATCTTAAATTTTTTAAATGTTTTCTATTTTATGAAGGACTGAAAAATTCAAAATACATTTTTCAGAAAAAAATATCTAAAGAAAAACAAATTATTCACAAAAAAATTAATTTTATACTTAATATGGCCATTGTTGAAGAAAAATATTAAATTTAAATTAACTTTATGTGATAAATTCTTAATGACACTTAAGGATTTTGCATCGAAAAAGTTTGTTTAAAGATAAAATATGCAAAGTTCAAATAACATTATACTTACTTCAGTATCTTAAATGATAGACTTAAGTTAATCCAATGGTAAAACGTAAAAATTCCTTTAAAAAAATTAATTTCTTAATCCAATCCCAGCAATAAACTTTTGCTTGTTAATAGTTTGCCCCCCAGTCAGCTACTGGCCTTAACTCAGTGTAGAGGCCTGAGTTATGGATTTGTATTGACTTAATCCAATTATTCCTAAATCAGATAATGAAGGTTATGTGAATGGCCATTTTTCTAGATCATTTCATATTAATGCAGGAATACCCCAGGGCTCTATCCTTGGACATACTTTGTTTCTTATCTTCATCAATGACCTTTTGGATATCCTTAATTCTTAACTAGGTATTTATACTGATCATTGCTCCTGTTTTTAATAGGTCTGGACAAAATAAAACTGGCAGCTGATCTCAAATTTCAATATCTTTTTTGTGATTAAAAACATTGATTTGGAAATTCTTGCAAAAATCATATAATTGTTGGATTTTAATGAAACTTTCTGGTTTTATTCATAAATGAATGAAATTATTTTAAAATGTTTTTGTTTTTTTTAAGTAAATCTTGAAATATTTTTTTACATCTGTTACTCCCTGCTTATTCAATTTTATGAAATTTCAAGAAATTAAATTTTGTCCCACTGAATGTTTATATTAATTTAAAGCAGAACTCCTTGGGAATTTAATCATCATTTTCTTTTTTGTAATACAGGGACCCAAGTTACTGAAAATCTGCTCTGAATCATAAAATAAAAAAATGCAATGAAACTAAGATATTATTTAATTAGATAGGCTTTTAATTGGTTTTATAAATAAGATATATTATGGACATTATATATTTAAAAAAAAAATATTTTAATGGATAATGAATTTTTACAAGAATCGTTTTCATTTGTTTTTTAAATTTTAGTTAGAATAATTTATAAAGTTTTAAATCTTTTTAATTTCTATATTAATTTGTATCAGATAGGTGATATTGTTATTGAGTAAAAACTATATTTACTCATAATAAATGGAACAGATTAGTACAATTCATTAACCCCTGAATATTTTAGGAAGAATTTAAAAATTTTTTTTTGTATGCGTATAAAAGTGCCAATTTTTGTAAATACAGACATCCATACATGACATTATCAGAAAATAAGAGTGATGTCTACAGTAAATTTAAAACCAAAATATCTAAAATTTATTAAAACATTACAGAGAATATTTTCTTATCATTTTAAGATTACTGGATACTTAAAAGTTATATAAAAAAGGTGCTCATGTTATATTCCTCAATTAATTTTTACAGATATGGCCACCATAGAAAAAAATTAGATAAACTTCCTCAGAGAAAAATTTCTGAAAAGCATAAAAGATTTTTTTTTTAAGAAAGAGAATTACATTGTAATGACAGATGCTAAAAATGGCGCTAAAATCAGCAATGTTTAGCAATTTCGAAATGAAAATACCTTCCAGTCAATTTAAATTAGTTTTGAAATACAGCAAAGTACTTTGCTCATTGGAAATATTAAATGTAATCTATTGGCTTGAAATTAAAACTAAAAAAAAAGCTTCAAGAAAGATTTTTCATTTTTTTTTAAATTCTTTATAAACCTTAATTATGACATTTCTGTGGCGATGGAATACTTTTCATAAAACAATGTGATTTTCACTTTTGTTTGTTGGGGAAATATTTAGATAAAATATAGAAGATCATGTGCAATATGAGAAGTCTTGGAAACTTTATGAGAAAACTTCAAGACATGCACAATTATGGCTCTCTACAACTTCCTATTCTTTGTAGCTCTTAGCACTCTTTGTCTTTTTACTATTTCTCCAAGTCCCTGTTCTGCCAAGTTAGTGTACTTGCTCTTTTTCTCTGACTTTGTTCATGTCAATAAATCCTGTGAGTGTCAAGATTTTCTCACTATCTCTTCATTATGCATCCCAGAAGTTCCAACCATTTTTTTTTTTTTATTCGAAGTATAAGTGTTCTTTTTATTCCCATTTTCATTAAAACATTCTCATTACTTACATACTCCATCTGTGATATTCTCAGCATCCTTCTGTAGAACTTGTTGCCTCAAGTCTCCTCCTCCTCTGTGAGGTAATATCCAGCATTCATCGTTATTTTATTTTTTTTAACCATTCCAACCCAAGCAAGGCAATAAAGCCACTAAGATGCAAGTGGTTACTG